AGTGATCTTCACGGAAAGACACACCAATAAAATAGAGAGAAACGAATAAATCAATCAAAAAGATTAATAAAAATTCTCGTTCCAAAAAACCCAAATTTCTTCACACAGGAAATTAAATTCCGCCGTAATTACGAGCGCCGAATATTAAGCTTCCCACTCGTACACTCGTACTACCTTGTTTAATCGCAGTCTCAAAATCATGCGACATACCCATAGATAAATCTAACGTCGATTCTTTGATATTATGATCTTCACAGTACCTGAAACTCGCAATACATTTCAAAACAACTGGAACAAACGCATCGAAAAAAAAAAAACATGAAAAGAAAAAATTTAGTTGTAGGTGAAAATGCGCAAAATGCACTTCTTGCGAACACTGAACAACTTTTCGAACTCCTCGTTCAAACCTTCGCCAATGCTAACTTCAAAAGAACCAATAGTCATAAAACCACGAAACTCCAAAGCATGACAACTTTCCGTAATCAAGTGAGCCAACTCAAGAGCCTGTAAGCAATTTCGCGACATTGTGCTTCAAAGGCAAATTCTGCAAGAAGAACCTTACAAATAATCAAATGTATCCTTTAGGACTAGAGTGAGAAAACTTTATAGTAAAAAGCACTGAAACCTTGGAAGAAGAAAGTCCACCCTTCTGTTCCTCATTACTTGTATTCACCTGCACCATAACCTTCAACTTCCTCCCCGCTTTTTCAATTTCTTTGTTAAGAGCAAGAGCATGAGCTTCTTTAGCCAAAGTTTCAACACACGACAAGTTCTTTATTTGGGAGAACTTCTTGATCTAAAAAATAAACTTGCAGTAATTTCATAATAAAAGGAAGATACAGTGATGCTTTAGAACTTTAACGGTGAAAAGCTTCCTGTAAACAAACTGCATCGTACCTTATTAGACTGTATTTGTCCAATATAGTGCCACTGGATTTCTGCACATGAATTCGCTAAAGCCGAAGACTTTTCCTCTAATTCCTGAATATAATTTTCTCCAAATACTCTCTGACCAGCTTTATAACAAACCCTGAAAACTCCTTGAAATCTTTTTCAAAAACAAAACTGAGTCAATGAGAAACGGTCTACAGCCCAACAAGACAAAAAACCGTAAACGAAACGAATATGAAAAATAAGGATTTCAGACAGTCAAAAAAGTCGCCGATCGACCTACACTAAATCGTTTAAAATATTACTGAGAAAAGAAAAGTGATCATACAGACTCGACCAGTAATGGGTGTTTAGTTTTTGACACTGCTACAAGTTCTGGTCTTCTGTCCCTGAAGTACGGGCCTTTTTCGGCCTCATCAGTGGCCCTGCGAATTCTTTCCATGATGGCTTCCAAATTTGATGCAACAGTGGTGCATTCTTCAGCTGTTGGTATCTCATGAGCCATTTTTGAAGCGTACCTGGCAAGCAGCAACAAATTATGCTTCGTATAGAGCGGCCATGCCAAGGCAATATCTTGGAGCTTTTGTACAATCATATCCTCAAATAAAACAGAAAAAACTTAACAACTCTGATATATTAACATTTGTATTCCAAAGTTAGGTTTTACAAACACCAGAAAGTGGCAATAAATATTGTAACTATTCTGAGTCCTAATTAAGAGTACAAACTTAAAAATTTCAGCAAAAAAAAAAGCTTTGCAAATGCTTTCTATAACTAGCCAAAAGATGTTTTGCCTACGCTGTTTAAAATCATTGAATCAATAATTTTTAGAACTTCAAGAAAATGTAATAAAGAACTAAAAAGATGAAGTTCAGTTAATCACCTGACACTATAATAAAAAAATCTTCATCTATCCTAAATAGGTTGTAAAATAGAGGATCACTTTGCCGATTAGGAGGTAAAAATCTTTAAGATAATTGCAGCTTTTCTCTTATAACAAACCACATTTACTGTCTCAGTAATGGAAAAGAAAAAACCAATGCTTAACACCGAAAAAGATTGATGAAGCAAACAGGCAAACAAATCGATGGAAGATGTATAATACTGCTTTAAAGTGGATGGCCATCAGCAGTGCAGTCATCAATGGTAACAGCAACGTGACAAACATCGAAGCGTCGACCAAAACGCAACTTCAACAGTAACAATATAAAGACATTCAACCTAATGGATTTCTCTCCTCATACACCAATGACGAGTTAAGTACTGTTATTTCATCAGACATTTAATCATCAGTTCTTATTCTCCAAAATATTTAGTGATCTTTGGACTTTCAGCAAAATTCTTTAAAAATTATTTTTGTCCTTTCACCAATAGCAATAGTTTTAACAACTCTCCAGCTACAATTCTGACTTTTTGATTTCGATAAGAACCGACAAACACATACAGATGTTTGGTCGAAGTGGATTTCTGATGCAGGAGGTGAAGAAGTGATGACTGCTAAGTTTTCTGATTCACCAACCTGGTGTACAGCTTTCAATTTCATTGATAGTTAGGTGCTACATTTTACTCTCTTTCTATAATGTCCCACTAAATCAATTAATTTTCTTCCGTTTACCTCAAACAAATAAAATCTCAAAACCCGTAACCTCTCGCCACTGTGCAGGGAAGCGCGAACGCTCCCCCGAACGCAAAAATTATGCTGTTGGCCAATCCCAACTCGGGAATGCCACACAGGTCAGCCTAGCCGAAAGTGCAATGACCAAGCCTCACCATGGAGGTCCCGCCTTCGTGATCACGAGTACCCTCCCAGCCAGGTAAGTTTAATGACTGGTTTCCATCGAACACAACACTGAACGGTACAGTCAATGCTATACGGGTTTGTTCCGATATATGTGAATAGTGAAAAAGAAACTAAACAAAAAAAAAAAATGAGAAAGCAACCACGAAACAGCAAACAACAAACAACGATAATTGCAAATACCAAGCGCTGTGTATCAAAGGAGGTACGGTGTTGGAAAGAGAATATTTTTTTTTCGGCTCTCCAACTTTCTTCAAATCCCTCTTGCGTTCAAAATTCCACCGCCAATGTCTTGCTGATTAACTGACTGACCGACTAATTTTTGTTAGTTACTGTTAACCATCTTTAACAATCAGTTAATTCTGGAAGTTTTTCCGTTCTATAAATTCACAACTATGATATGAGTGATATAACAAAATACGCTTATAAAACGACAAAATAAATTGGTGCTAACTAGTAGATGGATACTGTACTAAAATTGCTGTTAGAAATTTGTCACTTTTTTATAGAATGGTAGACTGAACATTGTCTAAATTATAGTGACAAAGTAGTCGGTGCAAGACATAAAATTGGGCGCAAGTGGCAGATTGATAAAATGTTCTGCATCTGTAAAAATAAAAATGATCAAACTAATGTCTTCTTTTGCCCCTTCTATGATAAAAATTAAAATTCTTTTATTTTGAAAAAGAAAAAGCTGTTATTTCTTTTTGTTTATATATTTCTTTTTCATTGTTTCTTCAAAATATATAGCCTTTTTTTCGGTTATAATAATTGGGAAATCAGACCGATATTTACTGAACAAAAAATTTGTAAATCTGTTGTTTCTAGAGCCTGAAGATTCAGAAATCAATGATGCTTTTATCTGATAATGAAAAAAAATTCACCAAATTTAACCAAGAACTTAGGAAGGTATTTTCAAAGAAAAAAAGCAGCATTTATATTGCTGTAACTGTTGTTTTTGCTTAAACAACTTTAACGACGTGGATTTTCTTCTTTTTTTGTTTTTTCACTTTTTTTTTGTTGGTCAACCAAAAAGAATATGATTTTCGTATCGGAAAAAAAAGAAACGGAGAAGAGACATCCTTCATTTATCTAACTTTTTTGAATTGTTTTTGTTCGCCCAGTCTCTTTTGCATAGTAAATATTGGAACAGATAAGGAAGAAGAAGAAAAAGGAGGAGAAAAAAGTATCGTTTTTTTTTTTCAAGATGAGATTTTGATTGTTTTGTTGCTTGAAAAGTAGTGCCTTTTCTTTCACAAAATTTAGTTTTGTAGTCATAAAAGGTAAAATAAAATAAAAAAAATTGATGAAACAATGGAACTAATTCTCATGTTCAGTTTGCAACATTGAAAAATTGAAAAGTACCAATACCTCTTTGGCGTTTTCAGTCGTCATCTGCAAAAAAAAAAAAAAAAAAAAAAAAAAAAAAAA